AATCGCTAAAAAATGACATAACGACCCCAAGGGGCAAAATTAGAGTCTCCTCCAAGGAGGAGATGCAAACACTAAGCAAACTTCTAAGGGATTTTCTAAGACGACGACCCTAAGGGGCAAAATTAGCGTCGACTCCTCTAAAAAGGAATGAGAGGCGAGGAAAAACTTAGAATATTTTATGAAATTTTCTAAGGCGACGACCCTAAGGGGCAAAAGTTAACGCCGACTCTTCCAAGGAGGAGAAGCGAGGAAAAACTTAGAAAATTTTACAAAATTTTCTAAGGCGACGACCCCAAGGAGCAAAAGCTACGCCGACTCTAAGAACTGTAGTCTACAACGACGACGGTAATACAGAAGGCATGAATGGATAACTCGACTTGTTGGAAGAAAAGAGACTCGACTCCCAACTACGTCTCGCCGCCTATCAGCAAAGAGCAGCGTGATATTACAACAAGAAAGTTCGACAAGGAGGTTTGTCCCAGGAGACCTAGTATTAAAAAGGGTGACGCAGAGTACAAAATCCAAAAATACTGGTCCCCTGGGCCCAACTTGAGAAGAACCCTACCGCATAAGGGAAGTGTTGCGTCCTAACACCTACATTTTGGAAAGCCTTGCCGGCAAGAGAATTCAACACCCATGGAATGCAGAACAGCTAAGGCTGTACTACCAATAGTGTATGTAATTCTTATGCATCCCAATTGTATATTTTTTACAATTTAAATAAATTGATGTGTTTATAGAAAGAAAGGAATCCACCTCTTAATAACATGTCTGCTTAAAAAACTAAGGTATATTAAACATACATGGGGGGTAGAGGTCTACGAATCGCTAAAAAATGACATAACGACCCCAAGGGGCAAAATTAGAGTCTCCTCCAAGGAGGAGATGCAAACACTAAGCAAACTTCTAAGGGATTTTCTAAGACGACGACCCTAAGGGGCAAAATTAGCGTCGACTCCTCTAAAAAGGAATGAGAGGCGAGGAAAAACTTAGAATATTTTATGAAATTTTCTAAGGCGACGACCCTAAGGGGCAAAAGTTAACGCCGACTCTTCCAAGGAGGAGAAGCGAGGAAAAACTTAGAAAATTTTACAAAATTTTCTAAGGCGACGACCCCAAGGAGCAAAAGCTAACGCCGACTCTTCCAAGGAGGAGAGGCGAGGAATGATTCGTATAAAGCCTGGAAGATGAGGGAAAAACGGGGAGGAATCTTCAACATAGCCCCAATCTCAGCATCAGAAATATCCGAGACTTGGAAATTGGAATCCATGTTTTTGCACCCGGCATAATCACGCGTTCCCTCGGCGCCGGAGGCATACCAGCAACGTCGGGGATCAGGACAGCCGGCGTCCATGTCCCAGTCTCCGGCGCCTTCTCTTTTCGCCTTCTTTTAAGTGGCAGAGCTTCCGCCCCCGACCCCGAAGAAACTTCCGCGGTCTTCTTCCTCTTCGACGCCGGAGAAGAAGTGCCTACTTTCTCTTTCCCGGCGGGACAGACTGAGACTGCTGGTTGCCCGGAAGCTGAATCCTCAAGGAGGCCATTTATGAGCAAAGGACCAGGCAATATGTAGTCAGTAGGCCAAAAATAAAAAGAGAAGGCATGCACGTCGAGCCAAGTCCAGGGGCTTACCTTCATCGCTTAAGTGGAAATATTCCCTGACGGCGAGAGGATTAGAGGGATCAGGAAGGTTGAGGATTAACGCTGCCCCTCTAAGGTTGAATTCGGTTAGTAGGGTATCAATATGGCGAGTCCTCTCCAAGTATGAAAAAGTTGTTTCAACCCTCGCCAGCCTCTGTCCAGAAAGCTTCGGCCGATCGTGGCTAACTGAAGGATAAAAAAGCTGTCAGCATTTAAAAAAAAAGGAGAGAGAGGGGGTGAAGTATCAAATCCTCACCCATGTTCCCGAATGAAGTTTGCACCTTCCTACGGCGGGGCAAACGGTCTTCAGGATGGAAATTAAAAAGGCCCCCGAATCATGAAAAACATGGGTTTCCTCCCATGTGACGACGAGGGGATACCCCGTATCAGCATTCCAAGCCTAGGCTGGGATCACCCATGACCACTCAAAAAGTACCATCCGTCGCATTTGGCGACATGACACAATCTATACATAAACAAAAATTCATCCAGCGGTAGATCCATGTCAAACCGCTGGCTCCAGAGGACCCAGGCGCCGGCAAAACAGTACCAAAAATTCGGCGCCAACTGGGCAGAAGAGATGCCATAATGATGGCAATAGTCTTTAACGAAAGGGTGAACTGGCAAAGTCATCCCCGCCGTAACAGCCTGAGTATATACAGGGAGGTACCCGGTGGGAGGCATGCTATTCCTAAAATGTATGTCTGGGAGGAGGTACTCGAACCACCTCCCATCGATACAACCTTCCTTAACAGCCCGAATGATATCTTTGTTTCGGACCCTCGACGCCACGACATCAGCCGTAAAAAATGGCCTGTCTGGGTCGCCGCTCATAGCAGCCAGGAGGGCATCCACCGTAGAAGCAGCGAACCCACTTACACTGCCTCCCGTAAATGAAATTTTATTTGCTTCTTCCTCTAGCATACGGTCGACGCTGTCGAACTCGTCACCAAAACCTTCGCTAGGTCCACCCATGTATGCCTCTAATTCGCTCAGTATTGAGTCGCCATCTGATGAAGAAGACGACCAAGAGATCTCCACTATAGGAGGAGAATCTGGTCGCTCAGCGGACGGGTCCTCTCGACGAGGGTTTGAGGCCATTTTTCTGATGGTGAAAAACACAAAGGAGCCAAGTCAAAATCCTAAGTCGAGAAGAAGAGGCAAGCGACGACTGCTCAAATGCCTCGACATGACGTCGACTATTCATGTAAAAATGGTAACGGCAAGTATTCATGGTAACTAAGGTTCATCAGAACCCAGGGGCCAGAAGCGTACAATCAACCAAAAAATCAGATAAAGAACTATCCTACGCGGGTAAATAAAGCAGAGAGTAAGTCTCTATCCACCACATCAACATATGCATACGATTCAATGAGAAAGCCCGTAAAAAAATACAAAACGGGTGATGGTGAGGCTTACCGGTAAATTGGATTCTGGGCAAAGTCTGGAACTGAGACGGCTTCGCAACATACCAAGCAGGGCAAGGAATGCAGGTTGGAATTTACAAGGAAGAATTCCGGCAGAGTAACGACAGTTTAAAAAATGTTTGGAAAAGTGGCCTCGGTTCGAAGGGTATTTAAGGGGAAGACCCCTGACCGTTGGATGAAGTTCATGAAATCCAATGGCAGGGGCATCTCGCCCAGATCTGACGACAGCAGACAAAGGCGGGAAAATGAAGGGGCGCGATCCAAAGGCTCACATTCGCCCTTTCAAAATGAGGCCTCACGTCAGCATGGGGAAGTGACCGACGCGACGGTTGCGTTCCTCAAGGAAATCCAAAGCATCTAGACCATCATTGCGGACGAAGGCTCGGGATCAGGTTCCCACACCCGAAGCACGAAGGTACGACCAAACCTAAGCTCGAGTCTGTCTAAAAGAAACCCTCGACCTGGGGGGCAACTGTTGTGTGGGAAAATGTGGATGATGCGTGGAAGAACAACAGTGTGATGCGTGGCCTTGCTTTTCCTCAAAAGGCAACAACCCTCGACGCTGGGGACTCCCTTTCGTTCTGCTGCAAAGGAAGCCCAACTTATGACGCCGACTCCTCATGATGACGACATGTCATACCGTCGACCTTACGACGGAAATCCTTCGGGAGAAAATCAATTGCCAAGAAAGAGAACTAGGCTGAGCAAACAGAGACGGCGAGAGGAATGCCCCAAAAGGAAAAGCCTGACATCGCAAGTTACGTGCAGAAATGGGGGGATGTCTACAGTGCATGCATTAATTGCAAACCCTTAAACCGCCCTACGGGGGACAGAAAAGGATTACAGGTACGCACAGAGCCGTAATAGGAGACTAATTGGCTGAGTGAACAGTTCGTAAAGTGATTAGTGGGATACGGTCTGGGCCTAGAAAGGCAGACCACTTGAGTGCTTCTGCTTACAAAGGAGACCCACCCAATGAAGGAAGCTCGGCTATAAAAGGGGCAAAGCCCCATAAAGGAAAGAAGTTCGCTTCCTGAGAGAGAAAAAATGAGAGAACAACAGTTGATATAAATTGTAGCAATCTCAAAAGGAATATAAAACTACAGTGGATGTAGCTCTTCATTAACAGAGTGAACCATTATAAATTTCGTGTGTTCTTCTACTTCAAGCATTTTTTCTCATGTTGCTCACCATCCTAAAAATACAACAAACACTTCATTGCATAAACTGAGTATACAGTCAATATCAAGATGGTAATCCAACAGGATACCTAGAGGTGACCCGGCCTATCTCTGTTGACGAGATTTCACCATCAACAGGTGCGATTGCTGGTTCCAAATAGACATGTTAATAGACGACATGTTATTCATAACTAAACATTGTCATTTATGGAATAGATGCCAGAAAATAAACATTGTCCGCAAGTGGTTATCAGGCGAGTGCCCTATACACGAAGATTTCATCAGTTTAGCGAGGATGGCAAAAACTTGGGCAAAGATGGGGCGTGTTCATGAAATAAATGTAAGTTTGCCGCTTCCTGAAAGTTACTTTGAGGCTGCTTTTGAAAGCATTTGGCCGACTTTTCAAAACTTTTTGTTTTCAATAAGATTTCATGAACTTTGTCTAATATTTGTGTTGCTTATTACGAAATTTAAATATCATTGTTGTACCATTAAGCGTTTAAACATTTAGTTTCAAGTATTAATTTGAAAGTCATAGCTTTTATTTTTCTTCTACTAGCTGAAAACATAAGTAAAACCAACGGCAAGCGAGCCCTCTAAAACTTTCGTCTTTATCTATAACTTAAGCATTCATCAATCTCCTTCATCCGCAAATCCCTCCCTACTATCTGAACTGAAGCGATTTTTTGACCGATTGGTAACTTTACCGTCGGTGATAAAGAACCAAGACTACTTCAATGCCATGACATTCGTAGAAACAAAGCATTAGCAATGCTATTCTTTAAATTCTGAATATGTTGGAAGTAGTGAGAAAGAGGAGTCACTGATAACAATAACCAGAAACGGTTGTAAGCATTTGTGAAACATGTAAAAAGGGTTTCTGCTGCACTTTATTTCTCAAGAACAGGGCCACAAACATGCGCCACAGACACTTGATTGAAGAGAAACAAAAACTCAAATATCAAACATTGACCACGAACTAACTGCAGCGAATAAGTATCACCAGACTTCAGGACGGAGCTCTGCAGTTGCTGGGGGCATCCATCTCCCGGAGTTGTAAACACTCTCACCAACTTTCCAACCTGGCACGTCCTTCATTACTTCAGCCTCGTATTCAAGATACTTCTTCCACTCCTGGACAAATCTAAAGAATGAAAACACAAAAAAGAAAAGGCAATGTGATCAGCACTTAAAAGTGGCATATAGCCAAATAACAAAAGCATAGAAAGGAAAGAAATAAGAGAACTAATGAGGTGGTCAATTTACCTCTCATCTTCTTCAGCTTGCAGTACTGGCAGTATAGCTGTCCTGGCAGCATATTTTTCTTCTTTAAGTGCCCTACACAATCATAAAACATTGCTTTTGAAACTTCTATAGAAATGCATGTGGTCTCTTACCCCAGACAGCTGAATACTTCATAAATAACATGAAATAGATAAAATTGTCACAAAACTCGAAGACATTTCCATCTTTTGGCCACAAACTGATAGAGTATAAGCAAAGAAGATGATCTAAACTGAACGAGATTTATTTTCTTCCAAATCTCATGCTCGAAACACATATTGTAGATTTATTGTTTTAAGTCACAACATTGTACTAAAAACCATATACATTAACGACCAAGCTTCAAAACTATTCAAGACATGACTCTACAAATCACTTGCCAAATGCTCACATCATTTCATAAAATAATCACTGAAAAAAATTGAAACTGAGACTGCCAAGATATTATAATATATAACAATCAAGATTTTGCAGTTCCTCAAATCAGGGATCTTGACAAAATCAGCACTCAAAAGAGGAACGCTAAAATTTGTAACCAAGTTAAAAGGACCGCTAAAATTTGACTACGAAGACATTATAAAATCATAATTGCTCACGCTTTACACCAGGAGCTGGAGCATGATAGATTCTAGGGTTTCTTTCACACAACAAGAAGAATAAAAGAAGAAATGGAATCAAGAATCAAGAACGCTTATTGTATTATAGACAAATGAACATAACCACAGTGCTTCGAGGGACTGCAACCTCCCAACTGGCTCAATTGCCAAGCTCCTATACAATTCTCTCTCTAGATAACCCCCCGTCCCCCCTATTCCCTTCCTATTTATCTAATCTTTTGTAACTAACCCACCGCCGCCTCTACTCACTTCTAACTTCCTCTAATTTGTTACAAGCCTAATCCGCTACAAGCAAGACCATTTACACCCGACTCCCCTTCCTAACGTAAACCCGTCTGACCAGGGGCTTGGACTTATCAGAGCACAATGCTTCCTTCATTGCACAAGAGTTTGTAAGCATAACTTTCTTAGGAGAGTCAAGATGATATTTTGCATTTATGGAAGGCTATGAATAACAACAACAACAAATACAGGCCTTAATTCCAAATTAATTGGGGTCGGCTATATGAATTTTTCGTTTCTAGTCTGTTCTATTAAACACAAGACCCTCCTGAAGCCCCAGATTTTGAAAGTCGTGCCAAACTACGTCGGCCTAAGTAATTCTTAGTCTACCCCTCGCTCAAGGCTTTGAATAACAAGATGCAATTAAATGAAACAACAATGGAGTCTAGCTACAAGCGGAATTAAATTTGAGGGAGAGATAAATCACCAACTACGTAAAAAGAAGAAAGATATGATATAGAAATTTCCGTCCTGCAGCTTACTAAAACATAGCAACTCAGAATGGCCAGTGTTACAAAATCCTTCATCTGCCCACTAAGAACCTATTCAAATAGCTGACCCTAGCAACCGACAAACTAGTGTAAACTGTAAGCCTCTCTTGTTTTTCTGATTAAAAGTCTATCTAATAAAATAATTCACTGAAAATAGTATTTTCCATGAATGTCATTTGATGGGACTTGATCCTAACAAGTTTAAACTGACAACTAAGAACCTGGAACTTATTTTCATATTGAAATCTAGCTCCTATATCCATTATCAGAATGACTCAAATTTCTCCAACTTGGCAAATTCTTTTTTGCCAAAGTCTAAATCTTTTCTTATCATCGAGCTCTATATCACTCGATCCTCACAAATAAACTGTTCTTAGCAATACTAACATCCCATTTCTGAACGATTCAACAGTTCCTTTTCAAGCAAAACTGATTACGATCTAAGAACAAAATGTTCCATGCCGGGGCCAAAATTCACAATCTTTGAACAGATAAGAACAGAAAAGATGGAATGTTTGCAATTGTTTCAATTCAAATCAACACAACCATAATAACGCCCAATTTCTAGACCTCCTTTCTTAAATTTCAAAAAAAAAAAAACCTAACTCAGAACGACATCAATCATATGACCCTCAAATTAGCCCTAAAATAAGCTCAAATTTCTAACAAGAAGAAGAGCGAAGTCGAGAAATTGAGAAATTTAATAGGAGAGAGAGAGTAAGGGAGGACCTTCGGATCTTGTTGCCCTGGCCGACCTGGTACATGCCCCAAGAGAAAGCACCGAAGGCGGTGAGGAAAATGGCGACGGCGGAGGGGCCTTTGCTGGGGATCCGGCGAGCGTACCTCACCGGCGAGAATCCTCCCGGCGGAGGGCCGTCCTGGAGGACCGGCATGTCCTTGACGCTGGCCATGCCGGGCTTCTTCCTGATCATTGCCTCCGTCATCTTCGACGATCCCTAATCACTCCCTCTCTCTCGCTCGAAGAAGAAGAAGATGGATGTGTGATGTATCGTGGTAAAGGTGGTTCTAGGCGTGTGGGATTCTTGACCAATGACAATATGCCACATGGTCCTATCAGTTTATTTGTATTGGGTGTTAGATCACCGGCATGTGCGGCAAGACTTCTGAGTCATTGCGAATTTATGATCGTCACAAAAATCAATAGATACTAGTTTTTTTACCCGCGTGAGAAAGATTGTTAGTTCGTTCATTTCGCTGATTCGAGTTTAGAATTTGAGTTTTATTACAGTAAAAAATTCTCATAAATAATCACATTTAATTTTTTTGTTACAGTAAAAAATTCTCACATAAAATCACATTTCAACTCGAATCAGCGAACTAAACAGACCCTATATATTATGCAAGAAGTCAAGAGTTTTTATATTACAATATTAATTTATATATACACATTGATATAGATATATACTAGCAGTGTAGCGTGCATTTGCGCGCGTTATAGTGAGAGATAATTTTGTATTGTAGTAAGAGTTGGTAATTTTTGTCATAAATAAAATTAATTGCACATAAATGACATTTTGTCATAACTAGAATATGTATTTAGAACATATTAAAACGAACAACAAATAATTACATCAATAATTCTATGGCAAGAGATGTACAAAATTCGATATTTGTGCCTATAATTTATTGTAAGTAATATAAAAATATTTACAACAATCACATATTTACAATAAGAGAAATTCATAATTTACAATATTAAATATCATTAAGTACAAGCAAATCAATAAGATAGAAGTAGTACATGAATTAAACCTATGAATAAACAATAGATAAAGCGACTAATTTATGCTTGTATTCGCATGTCTTCAACTATTTGGTCCATTTATAAACAGATAGACAGGAAATTTCTCATGATAAAAGCTTATTATGTCAATTTCATAAAGAGGAATGCCCAAACACAAACTAATGGTGAGATATAAGTGAACAAATAAGTATTAAGAAAGATTCAATGGGAGGAAGTTGATAAATTATGAATATGATAATGCTTTTACATACTAATTGTGGCTCAGATATTAAATGTTGTCAACAAATGCATGGTAAATCAACTTACTTGTATTTTTATAGCTACCTATCAGCGGCAACTGCAAAAAGGCACAAAAATTGGTCAGATGTTATATTTGCCATGCAGATTATGACATATTCGTGACACAAAATAAAGGGTCAAAGTAAAATATAAATCTGTCCAAAAACTACCTGGTGAATTAAAAGAGAGGAGAAAAATAGCAGCATTAAAAGGACAATGAGGCTGAGTAGAAACTGGCCACACAATGGATAGTAAATGGCGTCTGTGTCAACAGTGCATAATGGGTCTGCCTTTTGTCCAAGTAAAATAGAAGAAGCATGTATAGTCAAAGCATCAAATAGCCAATTAATACTCAGATTCCATTCGGGTCAAGGTCATTTGGAATGAATAATGGGAAAAACGAAAGCATATAGAACAAAAACAGATAGGGAAATCATAGGCCAAGGGAAAAACCTAAAAGCCTTTGTAAAGCAAAGCTAAAAGAAACAGAGAAATAAATGGTACAGACAGAGGGGGGAGAGAAATGGAAATGATGTGCTCCAAATAAATAACTTAAAAGAGCAAGAAGAGATAGGATAAGAATACATATTATATGGAGGAATAGATTTTGAATCAAATACTTAAAATAGAAATATTAAAAGCCAAAAATTAAGAAATGAAAGAGCAACAATGATGTTGTTTGTGTGTTGAAAATCAAAGTTCATGAAATCATGAAAGAAATAGAATGGAAAAACCCAGTGAAAAAAAGATAGAAAATGTGAATTCAACTGAAATAGGCATCTCAAATGTCATAGCCTTAAACTGAAGAAGAGCAAAAGAACAAATGGAAGGCGTTTAAATTGTTTTAGTCAAAAGTATACCAAAAATCAATTCAAATAGAAAGAGTTTATTCATAGTAATTTTTGGATTGATTAATTCAAATTCAAGAGTCCAAAACTGATTATGATCATCACTGCCACATGCCAAAGAAAAGAAGAGAAGATATTTAAAGTGCTTTTGTCCAAAAGGATAAGAAAAATCAAGATCCAAATAAGAAGGTTTATTCACAGCAATTTTTGGACATATTAGATAGAACTGATAGCCCAAAACCTATTGTAATCATCATTGTCATGCACCAAAGGGAAGGAAAGATAAAATATGCTAAAGAAAAATAGGTACACATATATATATGCGTGACTATAGAAGGACTAAGAAATCAATATGCCATCACTATACAGCAATAAAACATAAAGACGGATTTTTTTAAGCACTATAATAGACAATAGGAAGTAGTAACAGTAAAAGTAACCAATACATTCAATATCAATAATAAATATTGAGAGCATATGGGCAAAAGTGTTCAACAGTACCTGCAACGCTATGAAAATTACCTTAAACAAGGAATATGGGCGAACCAAACACACGTGAAAGAGACATAGCTTAAAAGACTGAGCATTAAGTGGACGAAGATGGAACCGGACAAAAAGGCAACAATGTTAGAGAAAGTAAAAAAAGGGAAAAAAATATATTTAGATACATGTAAAGCAAAAAACCACTGACAAAATCAGAGCCCGAAATCAGAATGTACATAAGTAGAAATACATTTGGGGCAATTTCTGAATAAATTACATGGCATCAAACTGACAAAAATGGATTGCAACAATCATTAGCATAGATTGAAACCAAGTAAGGATGAACTATGTTAAGTAAAAAGAGAGAGAAAGATATATATATATATATATATATATATATATATACTTCTATAAAATAGATAAACAACATGAAGAAAGACAATTATACGTGACTTAAATTCGTTGACAATGAAAAGAAATGAACTATTGTCAGCAATATAAGATGCAATACAAACCAATAGCAATATGACATATTAATATCTTCAACATCAACAATAGACATTAAAAACATATAGACAAAAGTCATTAATATTACCTAAAATATTGTAACACCTGCTTTAAATAGAAAATGTCAACTAACCAAACAGGAGTGAAAGAGACATAGGTAAAATAATGGAGCAGTTATGTCACACCCCCCAAACGGGGTGGGTGACGTGGAGCTCGATTTGAGATTAATAAAGCAGATTCTCAACCGGGGCCCACACTTCTGCATTAAAATATGAATAAACTACAGAATTCCGGAGCCTCTGACACACAGGGCTCCACCCCATAGGACATACAATATCGTACATACATGAACATGTAAATAATCATTACAACTGACATCAACCACAGTCTAGTTAATCTAAATATTACATAAGTTTACAGAATTCTCAGTTCCTTACATTTGTCCAAGAGGATGTCTGCGATCCTCACTTGATTCCAACAGCAGCACAACTCAGCTGCTCCGTAGCAATTATCCAGCTACTACGCACCGCTCCTAGAATCTCCTGGGAGGGGTTTAATACATTTGAAATATAAAACGTGAGCGAAATGCCCAGTAGGATATAATTTAAAATAACGTTATAAATAAATGGATAATAAGTGAGCGGGGAAATAAAAAAAGGAATAAGTAAATAAAATAAGACATTCAGTCCCGACGGAAAAGCTGAAACCTCACATCTTTTTTCTCAAAGGAAATATAACTGAAAATAACCGTATTACAGGCTTCAGCAAGTAATTGGTACAAATTACTTACCAAACTAAGTTCATCGCCTACCCGGACCGAGTTACAGGTTCTGCCCCCGAGGATGCACTCTCCGCATCTTATCTAAGCTTACAGCAATAGACTCTATTACCAGTTCACAAGATCTCTTTGCTTAAGAATCATTCATTAACATTTTGAAATTGTTAATACGACCCCACGAACTACTCAAGCCGCGGGCCCTATGACTGGACAAGCCATGAGGTTCCATGACTAAACAAGCCATGGTTTTTAAAACATTTTTCTTTCGCAAACCAATCCCTTTCTTTAAAACATTTTCAAGGCTGAAATCTTTTTTGAAAAACAGGCTCACAAGGAAAAGGGATAGAAATCCTACCTCACACTATCAAACATGGGACTAACGTTGCCTTTTCCAGCTTCTACTTCCTCAAGCCCCTTCAGTCTGAATCCTCAGCGATCACTGATGCAAGACAACACTTTAGGATCAATTCTCATTCCTAAAGCAATCCAAATCTCAATTTTCAACCAAGATTTCTTATTAGTGTTCTCTAATCCATTTTCATGTTTCAAATTATCATTCCAAGGGTTTTCAATCTCAAATCAAGGATTAACAATGCTAATCCATTTATCTCAAGTCCCCAAATGAAGCTAATTTGGGTTCTCCCCGAAAACAGGGGTCAAAACAGCAATTTCAGGCTAAACAATGTCAAACCCCGTGTCAACCGGTCGACCGGTGACAGAGCAGTGCAACACTACCGGTCAACCGGTAGTGTGCACACCGGTCGACCGGACTGGTCGACCGGTCAGCCTACAGTCCGGTCGACCGCATAGGTCAATCGGTTTCCATGTGATCCAGTCGACTGCATAGGTCGACCGGTGGAATCAGCTGCGCGAGAGAGGCTCGCAGAAATCAGTCCAAAACCTGCAAATCCAGTCCCAAATCGCAATATTTCAAAGGAAAACCACTAGATCCGGGTTCTATGTCCTAAAACAAGTCCAAAGAACCCAATATCTCCAATTTCTACTCTAGTTTTTACTCACAAACCATCAAAATCCGGTTTGAACCAAAAATAAGTTTTGAAATTCAAAAACTTGAGATTCAAGAGATGTTCTTTCAGTAATCTTACCTCGAATCCTTCTCTTGACGTTGAAAACTTCTTTAAATCTTTCCTTGGTTCAAGATCCGTTTTGATTTGGGACAAAAATGAGAGAGGGAGAGAGAGAGAAAGAGTACGGGAGAGTGAGAGAGAGAGAGAGAGAGTGACGCACGGAAAAGGAAGGGAAAAAGAAAGGAAAAAGGAAAAAGGAAAAAGAAAAGAAAAGGAAAAGGAAAGAAAAGGACATGTGTACAGTATTTTAAACAACAGTCTAGAAATGTGCCCATACACACTTCTGGTTTAAAATAAATTACTGAGAATAATTTAAATACCTTGGAACTATTTAAACTCACTCGTGTCAGAAACATTTATTAATTAAACTCAATTAATAATCCAGATTAGGCACACTAATAATCTCAATTACCTTAATTAATCTCAATTAATTCTTCAGGGTGTTACAGCTCCACCCCCCTTAGGCAATTTCATCCCCGAAATTAAAGCATGCCTCAAAGTGTGAACAGATGCGGATAATGCTCCTGCATCGTCGTTTTAAGCTCCCATGTCGCTTCCTCAACTCCATGGTGCTGCCATAATACTTTTACTAGAGGAATCTCACGATGATGCAGACTCTTTATCTTCCGGTCAAGAATCTGAACTGGTGCCTCCTCGTACGATGCATCATACTGTATCGGAACGTCAAACCACTGCACTACAGTTTCCGGCTCAGGTTGACATTTCTGAAGCATAGAGACATGAAACATGTCATGCACGTGAGATAATCTAGGTGGTAAGGCCAACCGATAAGCCACCACTCCGATGCGTTGCACGATCGGGAATGGTCCCACATACCTTGGTGCAAGTTTCCCTTTCACACCAAACCGAACAACTCCCTTGCGTGGGGAAACTTTCAGCAAGACAAAGTCGCCCTCTTGGAATTCCAAAGGCCTATGTCTTCTATCAGCATGACTTTTCTGATGACTTTGAGCTGTCAACAGTCGTTCCCGAATTACAGCTATCTTCTCATTATTTTCTTGAATGACTTCTGGCCCCGTGCTCAGTCGATCCTCTGGTTCTAACCAAGACACAAGTGACCTACAAGGACGACCATACAGAGCTCTTGTAATTCTACTAGACACAAAGGGCAAAATGAGAATTTTAGAATTACGGAATTCTAAAATTGAATACTCAAAAAATAATTAATTGAGAATTAATTATTATTTAAATAATGTGATTATTTAAATTTGAATTTGAACACATCTAGATTTATCCATTTAAACTTATTTGATAAGTTGTTCAATTTAGAATTCAAATTAATTTAAGTTTGACTTAAATTCGAATTTGAATTTGAATTAAAATTGGACTACTGGATAAATGATGATTTCTCTTCCTTCCCTATCTGTTTTTGGCGCCACACACAAGGGAGAAAATCTCAATCATGGCCGGCCAGTAAAGGATAAGGTGGAAGGGGTTTTTTGTTCTAAAATTCAAATTGGAGATAGGGATTTGATTCTGTTTTGAAGTTTGACTTCTACTCTTTAAATATGAGAATGATAGAAAATTGTGGACACAATTTTTGAAACACTATTCATCCCTAATTGGATTGTGGCCGAAATTCATAGAGCGAAAAAAGAGAGCAAATATTTTTTCTCCAAAAATTCCACATCGTGCATGCGTTGGTGTTTGTGAAAATTTGAGTGTTTAAGAAATCTGTTTTGTCTCACGTGTGCCCACACACATATCTACGTGGAATCAAAGAATCGTCGTGGAAGACTTTGGTATTCTAAACACAAACTTGGAGCAAGGACTGTTCGTGGTCAAAGAACTCAAGTTATCATCCGAGTCGGCTTCCAGGTATTTTTTTCCGGATTGAGTTCTTGACGTAAATTAATGCGATTAATTTATTCGTGCATAAATTAATATAATCTATAGAGTATCTCAAAAGTTTTTCTGAAATTTTTGTTATACACGATCCGCCTCAACGCCATGCTTCCGCACTCGAATTCGATTCGGGAACCAACAAAAAAAAAGAGCATTAATTATCATACATTTATTATTAAAAAACTCAAAATCATAGCATTATGTTTTTTTTTTTAAGTTAAATAAGTATTTCTAAATACAAAAAATAATTATATATATTTAAGTTTCATATCATGTCTATTTTGGTCATTTTATATACCCATAGTAATTCAACCTCAAAATTTACCAAACGATATTACATTGATTTTGAAACCAGCACAACTACTATAATTACAGTTAAACACTCAGCTGCTTCTTATAACAACTGCTTCTTCCTTCAGCACATCTAAAAGTAAGGCCCCGCTCACTTCACCTATTCGAGTTTAGAATTTGAGTTTTGCTATAGTAAAAAGTTCTCAGAAACAGTCACATCTAACTTTTTTGCTACAGTAAAAAGCTCTCACATAAAATCACATCTCAACTCGAATTACAAACTCAAATCAGCAAAGTGAACGAGTCCTAATTTTTTTAAAATTCACAGCACTACCAAACTAAGCCAAAAACTAGAAAGTCCTTAAACCACGTAAGACTGACACAATAGACAATGGGTGCGTTTGGAATTGGTTTCAAAACGTTTTTGTTTTTTGTATGAAAATGAAAACGAAAACGTTTTTATTTTTATTTTGAAATCATTTCTGAAAATGCGTTTGGTAGTTTTATTCTGAGATTGTTTTCAATTTAAAAAAAACTAAAATTGTGTTTGGTGGTTTAATTTTTAAAAACATGTAATAATATTTAAATTAATAATATATTAAATATATAATAATTCGGAGAAGACGGTGGCGGGCAGTCGGAGAAGATGGTGGCGGGCCAGTCGGAGAGGAGCGTAGACGGTGGGCTTTCGCCGGATGTCCCAAGCCTGCATCTTCTTCGGTTGGCGACGGGGCTAACTTCCACGAGAGAGAAAATGAAGGGAGAAAATGAAAAGGAAAATGAAAAACGGATTTAATCCGTTTTCAGAATTTCACAAAACGATAAAAACAGTTTTGTTTTTGTTTTTTTAAAAAATTTGCGCCAAATGCGTTATCAATTTTTTACTTTGAAAAACGTGAAAAATGAGATTGAAAACGGAAACAAAGGACCAATATTACAGTGTTTTTCTTTTTTGGTTAAAAGAAATTAAAAAAAAAGTGATAATTCATAAAACCCTAAACCCTAGAACGTGCTGAGGCTGCTTCTAGACTCTTCTTCATCCTCTAGAAAACCCCCCATTTCTTCTTTCCTTACGCTTCTCTCCAGTCTTCTGTGATCTCTCTCTCTCTCTCTCTCTCTCTCTCTCTCTCTCTCTCTGAGCTTCCGTTTCGTCTCCGCAATCCGACGAAATGTACCGCAACGCCACAAGCCTCGCTTTCAAAGCTAGGTAGGTTCCCAATTCCCGTTTTGATCTCACCGGTTTTCGCCTTTGGTTCTTATTCTTCTGTTTAGTTACCGAGAAAATGTGCGAGTATAAACAATTCTCAACTACAATAAAAATTTTGGTGTACTTAAGATCTTCAATAACCAGTAAAAACAAGTTTGTTATTTGGACTCTACAGTTCAACTGGCAATAACAATATATAGAAATGGAAACTTTTTTTTTTGAGTCGAAATATGTGTTTTTTAAACTGAATTTTCATTCTTGGCTCTTCTTTTGGGCTTTGCAGGATCGCTAGGAATGCAACACAGCAGGTGAGATAATGGGTTTATTGGTTTAGTAGTAAAAAAAGAAAAAAAGAAAGCTCTTTTTTCAATCTTTTATTTATCATTTTTGTTGTTAAAAAAATGTTATTTTGGCGGGTTAGGTTGGTAGTAGGTTGAGTTGGAGCAGAAACTATGCGGCCAAAGACATAAAATTTGGTGTGGAGGCTCGAGCCCTGATGCTCAGGGGTGTTGAAGAGCTTGCTGATGCCGTTAAAGTCACCATGGGTCCTAAGGTAATCCAGTAATCCAATTTTTACATACATATACATATATGTACACACACACACACACACACACACACATATGTATATAAATAATGTTATTCTTCAATGTGTTGAGCTTCTAGTTATTGCATAAATAGGAGGGAGATTCTGCTGCTTGTTGAAATATTATCATTTTGTTGACATGGGTTTATTTGTTTTTGTGGTTGTGATAAAAGGGGCGCAATGTTGTTATTGAGCAAAGCTATGGTGCCCCGAAAGTGACAAAAGACGGTGTTACAGTCGCTAAGAGCATTGAGTTCCAGGATAAGGTTAAGAATATTGGTGCTAGCTTGGTGAAGCAGGTTGCAAATGCCACCAACGATTTTGCCGGTGATGGTAAGCCTCACGATCTCTCATTGGAATCAGAAGTCATGATCTATTGTTTCTGTTGTTCTATGGTTATTAAATCTTTAGTGTTGTTTATCTTATCAAAATGGCTTAATTTGCATTCGGGCATTTTAAAAGTTCTTGTTTTTAATTATATATACGTGACTGTACTACTTTGTCGCTATGATTGAGCAAGTAATGAGAATTTTAATGTGGCAATGGCATGCAGGGACTACTTGCGCGACAGTCCTTACCCGTGCAATTTTCACCGAAGGATGCAAGTCAGTTGCTGCTGGGATGAATGCCATGGACTTAAGACGTGGTATTACTATGGCAGTTGATTATGTTGTAACAAACTTGAAAAGCAGAGCACGTATGATCAGCACTTCTGAGGAGATTGCACAGGTTTGAATAGAGTCGAATATTGTTGCTTTCTTGCTGCTCAAGGGGAGTCTTCTTTATAAAGATTTATTTATGATAAAGTTTTAACTTTGATAGGTTGGAACAATATCCGCGAATGGAGAAAGAGAAATTGGTGAATTGATTGCGAAGGCAATGGAGAAGGTTGGCAAAGAAGGAGTAATTACAATCTCGGTAAGTTTCTTGCTATCCTGATGTAACCTTATGATCATTTTTAATCCCTTTAGTTGTGAAGGAACAATATTCAAGTTTTGTTAATTGCTTCTCATCTTATGTATTATTCGTCTTGACAAATTGAGTCATCTTAAATCCCTTTTCAGTTTTGTTACCTGTAATCATAGCATTATTAGTTAGGGAATTTTGGTAATGATTTTCTTTGCCCAAGCATGCTCTTTCTACTCCGTACAAGTAGAGGGTGGAATGGTCTGTTCTGATTTTTATGTTCCAGTAAGTTCCTGAATGTCTAAACTATGTTGAACTGTTGCAGGATGGGAAAACTTTGTACAATGAGTTGGAAGTTGTTGAAGGAATGAAGCTAGACAGGGGTTACATATCACCTTATTTCATTACAAACCAGAAAACGCAAAAATGTGTAAGTTTCACTGAATTATACATGCTTGTGGTGAAATTTCTATTACCATATTTTTGAAAATCTTAAGGTGCTTCTTATCCTTGCATGTAATCCATTTTATATGCTTACAGGAGTTGGAAGATCCTCTAATTCTCATTCATGAGAAGAAAATCTCAAGCATTAATGCTGTGGTCAAAGTCTTGGAGTTGGCTTTAAAGGTGACAAGTTGTCTACCTATTGCTTTAATTTGGATTCAGTTTTTATAAGTGATACAGATGATTGAGAAGAATTTCCTTGCCTTTTCAGAGACAAAGGCCATTGTTGATTGTTGCAGAAGATGTGGAAAGTGATGCTCTAGCAACTCTCATACTCAATAAGATTCGTGCCGGAATCAAGGTTTCCTTTTGCAACTCTTTTTGCGATTACACTTTTCAATTGCGTTCTGTTGCCTGTGCTTAATTAATCGTGCATTAGCAGGTCTGTGCCATAAAAGCTCCTGGTTTTGGTGAAAAACGGAAAGCTGGTTTGCAGGATCTCGCCGTTCTTACAGGAGGAGATGTAAATTTGATATTTATAATCATTGCTTTTATCTTGTTTAGTGAGACTCAACTCTAAATTGATTGTCGACCGACTCTTGACATCACATTTGTTAGGGAATGTTTACACTAGGAGGGGTAAGAGTGGCAAGAAAGGAAGTGTTAGGGGCCAGGGAGTGATTTTAGAAAGTGGCTACAGGGGGTGATGTGGCAAAATCAAAGGGGAATCAGGGTATTTGGGGTAGCTAGAGGGGCTTAGGGCAAAGTTAGACTAGACTTTTGCTGATTTCTCTGTTTTTCTCCACAGTCGATGGCTAGGAGTTCCGGAGTGCTCGAAATCTCTGGGGTTATCTTGTTCGGTTGACTAGTGTAATTGTTGTTTGCTGGTTGGTTGAACTCAAAAAAAGCGACCCTAATTTCCTTCAATTCTCTCTTTTGGTGTGCATCTGTGTTTGTGTGTGTTAGTGTTTGGCTGAGAAACCACCGGGTTCCTTACAAACTGGTATCAGAGTGTTACGTTCAATGGCGCCCAAACCAGTTGAGACGGAGAGGTTGGTCACGGCGGAGAAGGGATTGACGGTGGTCCAAGAGGTGGTTCAGGCCTTGATGTGAGAATCGCCGACCAGCTCAGCTGGAGACTGCGCCTGAGCAGGGGGAAGTGGTCTAGCGAGATGCGAACCGCAACGGGCCGAACCCTCGAGATCCGTGACGGGGAAGTCCGACTGGCGCCGACCCAGCTAACGCCGCCACGGGAAGGAGGTCCGGAGGTCATACGTCGGTCGCACGAGGCGGTGGCGGTGGCTAGACGGGGCTTGGACGGAAGAAAGCGACGGCGGGGACTTGTTTGGCTGCCGGATCTGGGTTGGGAAAATTAGGCAGATCCGACCAGGGAGATCCTGAGGGGAAGAGCTGGGCGCCTAGACTGAGAACCCAACCATAATGGGGACCCCAGGGGAGCGCGCTGAGGCATTCACCACACGTCCCCGAACTTCATCTAGTTCCTTGTTGAGTTTGAGTAGGAAGTCAAAAACTCATTCTTTGTCAAGCATCTTCTTGAATTTTGCACTATCGGTGGAGCAGCTCCAATTGAAGTCCTGATACAAATCCAATTCCTGCCACAATACTTGTAATTCATTATAGTATTCGGTGACACTAAGATTACCTTGCCTTTTTTCTCTTAAGGTTGACTTTATTTCAAAGATTTGGGCTGAATTCCCAAGATCCGAATACATCTCCTCTACCATCTCCCAAAATCGCATTTGCTGTCTTGTAGTAAAGGTATACTCGGCTAATGGCATGCTCCATTGAGTTTAACAACCATGCCTTCACCATTGAGTCCTCCGATTTCCACTTCTTGTATGCTGGTGTCCCTGTTTCAGGCGGTTTTGCTTCTCCGGTCAAGTAATCTAGCCGTCCCTTTCCATCAATAACAAGGATGACCGATTAGGACCATTCAACATAATTGGCTCCATTTAACTTGTGCTGCGTGATCTGCAGTGAGTGACTATCACTGCGATTGATGATGTGGTGTGATCCTCCTTGGGAGTTTTGAGTAGTTGGCGAGATGTGCTCGCTGGTTGCATTGGAGGTGGCTTCACGAGAAGCCCCTGTCATGGCGGTTTTCACCATAAGGAATAGAGTATTATTCCTGCTCTGATACCATAAAGGTATTTGGGAGAAAAGATGAAATGTCTTTATTTCATATTACACAGATTTACATTCATTCTCTCTCTTTAAATAGAGAAGAATTGAGAACCCTAATCACCCAAGTTGAGATCCCGGTGATTCTTTCCTAAAGTAAAAAAGGAAACATAATTCTAATTATCCTAGAAACATACCTAATATAATTCTAGAAATCAGAAAACTAATTTACACTAAATCAAATAAGGAAAGTAACCGGATTCCTCTCTGATCACTCGGTTTTTTCCACACAATCTCTATGAGTTCCTTTTGGAGGGAGCTATTCAAACTCCAAGGAACCTGGCTGCATACTAGTTCCGCTTACCACCCAGAGTCGGATGGCCCAACCGAGCATGTCAATCACTGTTTGGAAACCTACTTACGGTGTTTCGCCTGCGCTAAGCCACGGCTGTGGCTGAAGTTTCTTCCATGGGCTGAATATTGGTTCAATATGACCTACAATGCTTCGACTAAGCATACCCCCTTCTACATTGTGTATGGGCAGCATCGTCCTGTGTTGTCCCGGTTCCAGGACGTTCCTTCACTGGATGATGAGGTAACCAAACAAATGCAGCTCCATAACCACATGTTAGATGAGCTCAAGGAGCAATTAGCAAATGCGCAGCAATGCATGAAGCAGTTCGCTGACCAGTGGCGTTGCGAGGTGAGCTTTGAGCCTGGTGATTTGGTTCTCCTCAAGCTGCGGCCGTACAGATTGAAGTCTTTGGCTAAGAAGAGGAATGAGAAGTTAGCCCCCTGCTATTATGGTCCATTCAAGATTGTTGAGAAGATTGGCACTGTGGCATACCGACTCCTACCTCTTGCAGACGCGCGTATCCACCCGGTCTTCCATGTTTCGTAGCTCAAAGCTTTTCTGGGCGATGCACCACATAACCAGCCATTGCCGCCGTAGCTCACAGAGGAGCTCGAGCTCTTAGTCAGCCAGCGGCCTTGCTGCGCGCTCGTCCTTCCCGTGACGGGGGGCCCCAACACTTGGACTGCCTTATTCAATGGGAGGGACTGCCAGAGTGGGAGCCTCTAGACTCAATTCGCTGCCAATTTCCCGACTTCAACCTTGGGGACAAGGTTGATCTTGCAGGGGGGTTGGGTACTACTTTGGAATGTTTACACTAGGAGGGGTAAGAGTGGCAAGAAAGGAAGTGTTGGGGGCCAGGGAGTGATTTCAGAAAGTGACTAGAGGGGGTGACGTGGCAAAATCAAAGGGGAATCAGGGTATTTGGGGTAGCCAGAGGCTTAGGGCAAAGTTAGACTAGAGTTTTTTCTTTTTTCTCTGTTTTTCTCTGTTTTTCTCCACCGCCGGTGGCTAGGAGTGGCTAGGAGTTCCGGAGTGCTCGAAATCTCAAGGGTTTATCTTGTTCGGTTGACTAGTGTAATTGCTAGTGTAATTGCTGTTTGCTGGTTGAATTCAATAAAAGCTACCCTGATTTCCTTCAATTCTCTCTTTCGGTATGCATCTGTGTTTGTGTTAGTGTTTCACTGAGAAACTACCAGGTTCCTTACAGCATTCTACTTTTTTCTAGGTCATTACTGAAGAGCTGGGTCTGAATCTTGAAAAGGTGGATTTGGATGTGCTTGGTACATGCAAAAAGGTAAATTCTTGAGTGAACGATGTGTTTTTGAAATCTAGTCTTGTCTGTTTCTTTGACTGCACATTCCCTTTCTGCATGCAATTTTTTGACTGGAGTAATTGATTTTCCAATTGAATATTTGTGTAGTATTTAACCTGAGGGGGGCCAAAAAAAAAAGCCAAAAAAAAAAAAAAAAAAAAATCTAATGATGATTTGTGGTGTAGGTGACCATTTCAAAGGATGATACCGTGATTCTTGATGGTGCTGGTGACAAGAAAGCTATCGAGGAAAGATGTGAACAGGTTTGTTTTGCTTCGTTCGCCTAGGCTATTGGTGATTTCACAACTTGAGGACTTTGCAAATTGATTACTATAATATTAACCCCCCCGCTATGAATGACAGATTAGGTCGGCAATTGAGTTGAGCACCTCTGATTACGATAAGGAGAAGTTACAGGAGAGGTTGGCAAAGCTTTCTGGTGGTGTTGCTGTGTTGAAGGTTTGGCCATGATTTTATCCATAGTGCATTATACATGGGCTACAAAGTTTTCTGTATCTTCTATTTATGGGACATCTTGAACTAGGCTGGTGGATTAAAAAAAATGTGAAAAATTTCTTTCGTTACAGATTGGAGGAGCTAGCGAAGCTGAAGTCGGTGAGAAGAAGGACAGGGTGACAGATGCTTTAAATGCTACAAAGGCAGCCGTGGAAGAGGGCATTGTACCAGGTAACTTATGTTATTCACTTGTCCTGATTTATCGGGTTGGTTATAGATTCAGCAGTATCTTACACTGTTCTATACCTAGGTGGTGGCGTTGCTCTTCTCTATGCATCAAAAGAGTTGGAAGAGCTTCAAACCGCCAACTTCGACCAGAAGATTGGTGTTCAGATTATTCAGAATGCACTAAAGGTATGTACTAGTGTTGAAGATTATGTTTTATCAGTACGCAACGGAATCCAGTTTTTTTTTTAAAGTACTTGTAAGTAGCAGATGTTTGATTGTTGTGCTGGGGAAACTTATGTTTGTTCTAAACCTTATTTATGCACAGACACCTGTGCACACAATCGCTTCCAATGCGGGAGTTGAGGGTGCTGTTGTCGTCGGTAAGCTTTTGGAGCAAGATAACCCTGATCTTGGATATGACGCAGCCAAAGGTCAGAATTGCATATCACCACCATTTTCTTTTACTCAACAAAATTGTTGTTGTTCTATGTCCTTCTGATACTAATTTGTTTGATTCCACTAACCCTTACTTGAACAGGCGAATACGTTGACATGGTTAAAGCTGGAATTATAGACCCACTAAAAGTTATTAGGACTGCTTTGGTTGATGCAGCTAGGTAAATAAACAAACTTATCTTGATTTTGGCAAATAAGCTATGCTCAAGTTTTAGTTTTGTTCGCGTATTCATATACATTTCTGTTTTCTTTGCAGTGTTTCATCGTTGATGACAACTACAGAGGCTGTTGTAGTAGAACTTCCAAAGGATGATAAGGATGTTCCAGCAATGGGTGGCATGGATTATTGAGAATCCTTCCCAACATGATACTTGTTTTTGTTTTTGTTTTTAACTTGATTTTCTTGATAGGTTTGTTTGAGAGGCAATCATGTAATCATAATGTGAGGGATCAGCATCTAGGTAGCTTTGTAACCAAAGTTAGATTTGCTGACATTGTTGGAGGAAAATTTGGCATGTATCTTTAAACTATTATTCCAAAAATAAACAATTTTCTTCCCCATATAAACGACAACTGAGAAAAAATTTTGTTTCAAGTAATTCAGTGCATAGGTATTCCTTGCTATTCTTTCTGTAGGATGCCACTCTTCTAAAAGAATACTTGCTCTTTCGGAGTTTGCTTTTAGTTTTTCTAAAAGAATACACGATGTTGAACGCTTTTTTGTTATTTACTGTTTTTCTTTTTCCTTTTTGTCCTCATTTTCTTAAACGTTTTTTTTTTTTTTTTTTTTTTGAATTTTGATTTAAATAACGACAACGTATTACTTTAAGTTCAGATAGAAATTCTATCAGCGCAGAAAAAGAACAAGCCTGATACTGATAGGACTCTTTTACGCCTTAAATATGAATTCCTAATCTCAATAAGATACTTCTTCAACAGGTTTTCAACTTTCATTGTCTATGTATATGTGTGTGTGTGTGTATAATAGTCCTCTCTGTATACGTCCAAAAGCCTAGTAACTTGACGCTTATCCTCTCTCTTGCTCACAGCATTGTTCAGTTAGTCTTTGAATATCTGCTCATAACCAGAAGAGGCAACAAACTAGAAATCAATCTTTTTTGTTATATATTTGTTTTCCTTTTTTCCTTTTTATCCTCAATTCTTTTTTTTTAATTAAACAGGTTTTTTCTTCCGGAAAAGTGAATATTTTAGGGAAAAAAACCATTGTATCAGGAAAAAAAAGTAAAAAAATTGCAGAGAGAAAATGAGAAATTAAATATATAGAAATAAGAAAAACGCAGATGTACTCGGCACAAATATATATTCACTTTTGTTTTTTTTTTTTTTTTTTTTTAATTTATAAGGACAACAAATTTAGTCAAGTTCAAATAGAAAATCTATCACCAGAAAAAAGAAGAAACCTGATAGGACTTGAATTATGAACTCATAAACACAATAGGATACTTATTCCACTGGTTTTCAACTTTCATTCTCACTCTGTATATATAGGTCCTCTGGCTTTCAGTACGTCCACAAACACAAGCAGATTGTTGAGAGAGAGTACTTTTCCAGTAATCACGAGTTCTCGTACTTTAAGGTGGTCTTTAATTTAACCTATTGGGAAAGGTGGGTTTGCATCCATTTTTGCTTCACACGAGGATATAAACACACCAATTGCTGTGAAAACAGCAAAGGAAAAGAAGTCGGATTCCCTCATTAAAGAATACAGAATCCTCGCGTATTTTATCAACCGTCCAGATATCATCACGCTTCACAGTCACGAGATAACCATCAAAGACGGAGCCCGATACTACAACCTGTTTCTCGAATATGCACCCGCAGGAGACCTAGTAGGAATAGGATGACATTGAAAGGTCTTAGTTGTATCCACTCAAGAGGCATTGTGCACTGCGATATAAAGCCCGACAACATTCTCGCATTTCCTGCCAGAAACGGATATAAGCTCAAGATCACGGATTTTGGACTTGCTAAGTATGCTGCGTTTCAGGGACTGGCTAACCGAGCCAATAATGATCGTCCGGCTGGATACAGGAAGCAAGAGTATTTCTGCGAGTTCAGACGTGGATCAATCTCTATGTTCAATAGTGAGGGTGGACCACAAGAAGCAGAGTATTGGTGTTAGTCCATCACTAAACACTTGAACAAAATTGGGGTACCAGAGGAATATTAGGTGGAGTTTGCCGCCTATAAGTTTGAAGGACAAACCAGTACTTAGTGGAAGCAGACTAGGAGACTGCATGATGTAAGCACTATGGCTTGGGAACAGTTTGAAGAACTTTTCAATGAACTGTACTTTCCCCAAAGCTACCGTGACGAGAAAGCAATAGAGTTTATGGGGTTACAACAAGGGGATATAACAGTGAGGGAGTATGAAGCTAAGTTCAATGACCTGTCTCGATTCGCGCCATCCTTGGTGGAATCTAAGCACATGAAGTCTCTCAAATTTAAAAAGGGTATAAAGATTATAATACGGAGATTGTTGGTAGCTCTCAGACTTCGCGTCTACTGAGACTTGGTGGCCACAGTGATAACTATTGAGCAAGACAACTTGGCTTACATTCAAAGTAGGGAAGCCGCAAACAGAGCTTTAGGAGGATCTTAGCGGAATATAAGGAAGAACCCCAACCAAAGACAAACTAGTGGAGATGTGACAAGTGGGAGTAGTGTTTACTTATTTTTGTTTGTTTCTTCGGCTTAGGTCTGGATTCCTAATATTGTATTTATTCTTTTCCATTTTTAATAATATTAGAGTTGAGGGTTTGATAGAGGATAAGGTGTCTAGTAAGTGCGAAGAATTGTGTGTACAAAGTAACAATTGAGCGCCACAAAGCGTGTGTGTTTTCTTTTCTTTTTTTTTCTTTTTTCTTTTTTGAAATTTGTTGCTTAGACGCTACAATAATTGAGTGCAGCCGTTAATTAATTTAAAAAGAAAAAGAAAAACAGACATCAGTTTCTCACGTGAATGGATGGAAACTAGAGATAAAGGGTTGAAAAGAGACGGGTACAAAAAAATGATGAAATCTGCAGCTATAACTAACAATTACAAAATAACTATTATTCTTCTATTAACGAATAGTTTGATTCTTCTTGAAGATCATTGTATGAGACTAGAAAGAAGAGACTTCCCAAAGCTTCTTAACCATTTAATGGATTTACAGAGTACAATTCTGGGACCACTAGAAAAGGACAGTGTTAACGGTGAAAATTAGTCAACAGGTTAATAACAAGTTTTTTGGTGAGTTGTGAGTAGATTAAGGATGAGATTTAGAGAAGAAAAGAAGAATAACAACACCGGGATTTATATGGAGTCCACCGAGAGGGTTTTACTATTCTTTTAAGAAATTACAAATTTTGGAGAGAGAGATGTTCTAGAATCCGAACCCCTCTCAGGCCATTCTCCCTGTACATATACATGATATTGCCTCTGTCAATGATCAAATTTTTAATCAAATCCCGTGATATCTTCACCAAACTCCGGAAGAGTAGTCTCTGGCCATCGAGATTTCAGCCAGTCTGCCTAATTTTCTCCACTGGCATCGTCACTTACTCTGCATGCTTAATGCACGTCAAATCTCTGTACAGTTGTCACTTCAGTCTGGATGTGGATGGGTTCATTGCCTTCAGCTCTTTAGAAGCAGTCTTCACTCATGGCCAGTAAAGCATTCGTCTCTATGTCGTGGTCTTTCTTTCCTACAGTCGACCCCTTCAGCGGAGTTAGTTAACCGTTAAGGGTCGGCGTCCATGAAGTGCACTCTGCTAACAATTATGTACCTTCCTGTCTCAATTATTTTATGCTTTAATTGAGCCATGTGGCACCCAGTGATTGCCTCATATGGGGTTTAAGGTTTTACCCCACAACATTTGCCCCCTAGGTCAAGGTTACCTCTCAGGTTGGCTCAACCTTCATAGACAATCCATGTTCAGAGCCTTCACATGTTTGATGACCTGTCAAGGATGGTGCCTAGTTTGGCACCCTAGGCAATAATGACTGATATTGAGGCAGCTTCTTGGGAAGGCTAACAGTCATGTCGATTCAGCTCCTCATTTCATTGACATTTCTCATTTTGAATAGGGGATTCTGAACCATTAGATCGTGTCTCTCTAGTTTCCCACCTTGCTTCCACCGTTTGATCACAACTGTTCGCCTTTACCGTTGGATTCTCTATGATTCCATCCAACGATCAGGGGTCGAGGGTTTTTCCCCTTTATAAGGCAGTTTTAAACCAAAGTCATTTCCACCCAAATTTCTGAAAGCTGCCGTTTCTCTGCTCAGATTTTCCCAAAACCCTCCATTTCTTTCCTTCCATCGGTGCTTTGCGAAGTTCTCTCCAGTCAAGCTTCAGATTTCGCCATCTTTCAATCCTCTGGTGAGTCTCCATATTGTGATATCGTTTCTGTGTAGTTTGCTTTCTATTGGAATGCTTTATTTCTAGTCCCGGTATTTTTGGCTTCCCTTGCTTGGTTCATGTTGGATTATGGCATGATTAAGGCTTGAAATAGGTACATAGGAATCTAAAAACTTACTTCATGTATCATCTAGACTCTTTTATGCTAGTTTTCTCGGTTATCAGCCAACCATAAAGAGTTTTAGGATCTGGGTTTTGGGTGTTTGGCTGGGAAATCTGGGTTCTGCTTGAACATTCATTGTTATGTTTCTTGTGAATGATTGACGACTGGATGAGTCGTCGGCGTTCACCCTCCTTGGGTAGTTTCTTGCAATCTTAGGTGATTGTCGTCTGCTTGTTTCCCTTCTTACCCGCTTGACTTAGGATTTTAATTCGGATGCTCATTTTCCTCTTTTATATATATATATATATATATATATATATATCAGAACAATGGCTCCCAAACTATCTAGTCGTCGAGAGGGTCTTTCTGTTGGTCTCCGGATCGAATCCGGATGCGGAAGCGTGGTGGTGCGGGGAAGAGGCGGATCGTGTATAACAAAAATTTTCATAAAACATTTGAGATACTCTATAGATTATATTAATTTATGCACGAATAAATTAATCTCATTAACTTATATATATCAAGAACTCAATCAGGAAAAATACCTGGAAGCCGACTCGGATGATAACTTGAGTTATTTGACCACGAACAGTCCTTGCTCCAATCTTTGTGTTTAGAAAACCAATGTCTTCCACATCAATTCCTAGAATCCACGAAGACGTGTGTGTGGGCACACATGAGACAAAACGGGTTACAATAAACACTCAAATTTCCACAAACACCATCACATGCACGATGTGGAATTTTTGGAGAAAAATTTTTCCTTCCTTTCTCTCTTGAAAATTTCGGCCAGCCTTAAC